TACTATATCACCCCTACAGCATAGCTTCCCTGCAGGTTAAGATGGGTAAAAATAATGCTGGGAGTGTAGCTCAAGTGGTAGAGTGCCTGCCTGAGCCCCTGAGTTCAATCCTCAGTACTGACAAAAAAAGGTAAAAGTAATAGCTAGCCCACATTATTCTAGTCCTGGCTCTCAGCTGATTTCTTATACCATTTGCTCTCCCCTCTGCCCTATCCCACCCCCACACAACGGGTGAGGTAGGTGCTTATTTTGTTCCCATTTTGTCCATGGGCATGAAGCGCAGAAAAGATAAGAAGCTTGCTCAAGGTTGCACAACTAGAAAGCAGCAGAGCCAGGCTTTGAACTCTATAGCCTGTGATCTCAGCTACAAGGCTTTCCTGAGATAGCTGCCTGTCACTTTGAAGTAAAGAGCTACCCTCCAGCAATATCTGATGGCCACAATGTCACCACAGAAGGAGGTGGAAGGGCACCTGCAATCCTTTCTCTCCTCCCACTCTTTTTGACTTTCTTGTCCCCCTACCAGGGGGCAAAGACAACACTTCATGTGTGACCCAGATGAAAGCTTCCTCCAGGATGTTACTGACTGGACTTAGAAAGAAGTGGTGATTCACCTTTTTTTTTTTTTTTTTTCTGTGTTAATGGTTGTATTTAATAGAATTGCGGTAGAGGGGATGGAAGATAGACTTTGGACTGAAAACTGTACTTTGATTTTCTAAATATTTATGGGTACCTGAAGTGAAGAGTAAATTTGGAAAAGTCTGGCTTGACCTCTTCTGGACTCAGTTTCACTTATATAATAGAGCTAATGCTACCTATCACCAAGGATTCTGAGGTTCTGAGGACTAAATGGAAAACGAATATTCTTCCAACTCTTTCATTTGCAACTTCTGATAAAGACAAGGTTTTCAAAAGTGAGACCAAAGCATGGTGGCCCAACACTGGGAAGCTAAAATAGGAATCTGGAGGAGGAGGTGGCTAGCCTGGGCCACTTAAGTCTCACGATGGTACGTATAGCACCACCAGGGGGAGCAAAGAACAAGCGTTTTAGTCAGAAAACAGATGGTTTTGGAAAACCATTCCCAGACACTGACAGTTCTTTCTGTTTTCTACATGTTCTTTTAATTTATTACTCCTCCTATTTATACTAGGTAAGGGAACTTAATATTTTTACTGTCATCCTATTACCGTGATGCCCAGATGTCCTCAAGGAAAACCTCTTGAACTCAAACTCTAAGACTCATCTGGGTTGCTTTGAAATTTACCTAAATTCCATATCTGCTAAAGGAGTCCAGCTGGATCTACACTTGGTTATTGACCAAATGATATAGACAGGAACTCTCAGCTGAGCATGATACAAACAACTACAACATTCACATTTGGTTTTTGTTGCTTTTTGGGGGAGGAAGGTTTGAATTTGGGACCTTCACCTTGAACCACTCCACCAGTCCTATTTTTGTGATGGGTTTTTCCAGATAGGGTCTCGTGAACTAATTGCCCTGGCTGGCTTTGAACTGTGATCCTCCTGATCTCTGCCTCCTGAGTATAGGATTACAGACGTGAGCCACCAAGCAACATTAACATTTGTGATCAAGCAAGCAAAGTTAAACATACAAATTGACTCCAGGAATTAAATTTTTTTTTTTTTTTTTGCAGTACTGGGGTTTGAACACAGGGTCTCAAACTTGCTAGGCAGGCACTTTATCACTTGAGCCACTCCACCAGTCATTTTTTGTGTTGAGTATTTTTCGACAGAGGGTCTCTCGAATTATCTGCCAGAGCTGGCTTCGAACCACGATCCTCCTGATCTCTGCCTCCCGAGCAGTTAGGATTACTAGGCATGAGCCACTGGCACCTGGCAAGAATTTAATTTTCAGACACAATTCTTAGGACAGATCATGAAATTAGGATATTTTACCCCCATGTTCTTACACTTTTAAAACGTAATGCTCTCCAGCAACACTGATATTTAAAATGATGAGGTTGATGTTCCTTCCTATTATTGCTTATACTCTCTCTACAACAAAATTAGAAATAAGGGCAAAATAGTTTCTGCTGGGTATTGAGGGGGGGAAGAGGGAGGGGGCGGAGTGGGTGGTAAGGGAGGGGGTGGGGGCAGGGGGGAGAAATGAACCAAGCCTTGTATGCACATATGAATAATAAAAGAAAAATGAAAAAAAAATAAAAAATAAAAAAAAAATAAAATGATGAGGTTGAAGCAGTAGAAAGCTTTTGGACTCGTGTTGATCACCAAAGAAAAATTAAATCCTGTTTAGTGTATGTTTTAGTATCATTTTATTTACCTGTCTGAAAACTGGCTATCCATACCCCCTAAAGAACTCTTAATTAAGCAAAGCCAGAAACTCCATTCCTTAATTATTTGGACTAAATGCCAGTTTATTGCACTTGAACACAATAGAATGACATTTTTGGTAAATTTTTTCAAGTATATCAAAATTAGAACTTTTTCCTAAGTCAGACGAGTTCAAGTTAGTGAGTTTTTATTACACTGTTCATAGGTGTTGTCAAGTGATGTGATTTTATTAATGAACCTTCTTACCTATACCTTTCCTAAGACATTTGGTAATTTACCCTTGGTATTTATGGGTAGGTAATCTAGAAATTCACTTTTTACTTTAAGCTCATCTAAGACTAAAGCTTATGTTATCTTACATTTGTACATTTTTCATTTAAAAAGAGACATTCATAAGTTCTCCACTTTGAACAATTTTTTATTTCCCTGGATATCTGTCAAATTTCAGCATAGAATACTTAAATTTTACATCCTCCATCGCTGATGCAAATTTTGCCCTAGGAGACCATTACAAGGCATTAAAACTGGATAGTTCCCTCTTAGTTGGAGATTTGGTCTAGTTAGCAATTTACAAAAGGCAAGAGGATCTTTTCAGGAAACATCTCCCTCAGAACATATGGTAATTATTATTAAAGGTAAAGCTGGCCAGGTGCCAGCAGCTCACACCTGTATCCTAGCTACTCAGGAAGCAGCAATAAGGAGGATCATGATTTGAAGCCAGCATGGGCAAATATCTTACGAGACCCTCGCTCGAAAATATCCAACCCAGAAAAAGGGCTAGATGAATGGCTCAAGTGGTAGAGTGCTTGCCTAGCAAACACGAAGCCCTGAGTTCAAACCCCAGTAACACACACACACAGAACCCAAAAAACAAAACAAAAAAAACTAAAGTGGCCCACAAAAATCCAGATAAAAACATGAAAAATGAAAAGAAGTAGAAGATTACAGAAGATGGAAAGATCTCCCATGTTCAAGGATTGACAGAATCAGTATTGTGAAAATGGGTATATTACCAAAAGCAATCTGCATGTTCAATGCAATCCCCATCAAAAGCTCAATGACTTTAAGTTTGAAAAACCAACCCTAAAGTTCATTTGGAAGCACAAAAGCTGAAAATAATCAGGGCAATATTGGGCAAAAAGAGCAATGCTGGAGGTACCACTATAGCTGACTTCAAACTATACTACAGAGCCACAGCAATAAAAACAACATGGTACTGGCACAAAAACAGACATGAAGACCAGTGGGACAGAACAGAAGACCTAGATGTGAATCCATGCATCTACACTCATCTAATTTTTGACAAAGGCACCTGAAGCATATGATTGAGAAAAGACAGTCTCTTCAACAAATGTTGTTGGGAAAACTGAATATAGAAGGTGCTCAAAAAACTAAACTCTCCCAAAGTCAATGACCTAATGAAGACATGGGAAAGGAAGAAATAGCTAAAACAAAAACAAAAACAAAAAACCCATGAAGAAATGCTCAACATCTCTGGCCATAAAGGAAATGCAAATCAAAACCACGTTAAGATTCCACCTCACTCCTGTTATAATGGCTATCATCAAGAATACAAATAACAACAAATGTTGGTGAGGATGTGGGGGAAAAGGAACCCTCATACACTGTTGGTGGGAATATAAATCAGTACAAACACTGTGGAAAACAGTATGGAGGCTCCTCAAAAAACTAAAAATAGAACTGTCATATGATCCAGCAATACTACTCCTAGGGATATACCAAAAGGAATATGAGTCAGGTTACAATAAATACACCTGCACACTCATGTTTACTGCAGCATTAGTCACATTAGCTAAGCTACAGAAACAGCCAAGATGCCCCACTACTGATGAATGGATCAAGAAAATGTGGTATTTATATTCTATAGAATTTTATTCAGCCACAAAGGGGAATGAAATTTTGTCATTTGCAGGTAAATGGATGAAACTGGAGAACATCATCTTAACTGAAGTTAGCCAAGTTCAGAAAGCCAAAAGCCACATGTTCTCTCTCATATGTGGAATTTAGACCTACACAAATAAAACAATATTCTGAAAAACAGATCACACTAAGGGGAGGTCACATGAGAGGGGGAAAGCAAAGGAAGGAAGTTAAGAAGGTGAATATGGCTGATGTACTCATTGAAACTCATTGAAATCACCATAAGAAGGGTACTAAGGTAGAAAGGACAAAAATAGAGGGGATGAGCCAATTTGGGTTATAATACATATATACATGGAAATGTCACAATGAAACTCCCAGCGTAGCTATCTTAAACAAACAAAAATGTCTTTTTTTCACAAATAGAGGACAGAAAGGCAAAACAGGTCCTGTCTGGGGGGTTGGTACCAGTGGGAGGGGGGAGGATGTAAGGAAAGGGTGTAGGAGGGTGAATATGGTGGAAATAATATGTACACATGTATGAAAATGGAAAAATGAGACCTGCTGAAACTATTCCAGGAATGGTGGCAGGGGGATAAAGGAGAATGATGGAGGGGGTGAATTCAAGGTATGGTATATTTGATACATTTTAAGAGCTTTTGAAAATGCCACAATGCACCCCCAGTACAACAACAATAAAAAGAAAACATGCAAAATGAATCCTTTAGCAGTCCACTGTGAACACAATAGTTGGCTTTCTTTTAAATCATTCACTCACATGCCAAAGAATAATGAAAGTTTAGCTTACATTCCAAGTGTGGTTTGTTGTAGCTTTATATCTCATTTCACACGAGACCTTTTCAATTGCTGTTTCACTATTCCAATAAATAACAGTCTTGTCCACAACAGCATTTGTAGTCTCAGCCCTGGAAATAACGGATGCTGAAGGTATCACTAGAAAAAGAGACAAAAATCTAACAGTTAAAAAACTAGCATAGGGAGAAATTGATATTTTTTCATCAATATATAAACATGTTAACATTCAAAGTACAAAACCCCAGCAATTTCATGATCTAATTAACAACTAATGACCCTTGTCTGTTTTTCTAATTATGTAGATAACTTCTGTCACTGAGGAAAATTCTATGTAGTTCGTTCTCCATTTCTCTAAAATCCTGTCTTTCCCCTACCCCTACCCCCACAGTCTTAACTAATGAATTCCAGAGCCTGGTCTAATTAACAAAAGAGCTAAAGGAGGTATCGCCTCTTGCTTGCACCTGTTTAGGCAAACATGATGCTTTGCCTCTGTCATGGTTTGAATCTTAAATGTTCCCCAAGGGCCATGTGTTAAATGCTTAGTCCCTACTTTGGTGCTACTGGGAGATGATGTAACTGTAAGAAGTGGGAAGTCTTAGGTCATTGGGGTTGTAACATAAAAGGGAATATTGGGACCTTGGTCCTTCATCTCTTTTTGCTTTCCAGTCGCCACGAGCTAAGCACCTTCCTGTGCCACAGGCTTTGCCACACCGCTCTGCCTTGCCACAGGCACAAAAACAATGGGGCCAACCATGGACTAAAGCCTTCAAAACTATGAGCCAAAATAAACCTTTCTTCCTTATAAGTCAGTTATCTCATGTATTTTGTCATAGGAAGCTAACACAACATTGAAATTTATTTCAGATAATCTAACTTGAAAAGATGTTAAATTGAGATCTTTCACAATAATATTCTTCTTTTTTGTGTAATAGGGACATGTATGAATATTTATATCTATTGCTAACTTATTTTGTTTCCCATTAAAATAGATGACTACATCCTTGAAAGTATGATTTGAACAAGGTGGGTCTCATAAGACTCTTAAGAGTTTACAAATTGTTACATGTTCTATGATAATAACCTTCAAGAGGGAACAAACCCGAATTGGTCATCTACTAGTCCTTTGGTTGTACTAGGAGGACTAATGTAACTGGAATCTCTGAACTTCTAAACTGTACAAATACTTGTAAGTGTGTTTTATCTAGATCATTGACACTTTTTTTGGGGGGTGGTACTGGGGTTTGAACTCAGAGCCTCACGCTTGCTAAGCAGGCACTCTACTACTTGAGCTACTCCCCACCAACCTGATCATTGACATTTTTCTCTCACATGCATGATGGAGCAATGAAAACACATGTCTTTATTAGACATATTAACAAACAACTCAAAACCCATCCGTGGGCTTTAAGGCACCATTGTTACAGCTTAGCATTCTCTATGCATTAATTTACGTTCATTTATTCTAAGTCCATAAAATGTTCCCTAAGGAAATTATTATATCATTAATAGTTATTATTGTCTAAAATTATGTGATCTACAGAGAAATATAAAAGTTAAAGATTTGTTTTCAAGTGACACAGTCTTATAAAATACTAAGCTTAGAAGTGGTAGCAAAACTAATTTAAGAGCTTACTGTGCTTAACTTTTCCCATCTGAATTCCTTATCAGGTTTCCTTTTGCTAGTGTAAGCTTTTTTAAAGAAGAATGAGTATACAGAAGCCAAGAAAGTGGTTCCTCAGGCCTCTGAAACTACTTAAAATCATTCAAGTGCCAACAAGGTTATAAATTACCCTCATCCTCCTATCTACCACATGAGTTTGGCTTACATAGCAGCACAAGCATTCTGAGAGCTGTAAAAAATGTCAGAATCAAAATGGAGTTGCTTTAAAAAAATGGAATTGCTTGTGTCAAGTCCTAACAATCAATCAATCAATACAGCTGGAAGGTTGTAAAGGCGGGGATCCCATGCACACGTGTCTGGTAATAAGACCGCTCATAGGCACTCTGACAGAAGCACAAGCTAGCATAGAAAATACGAACGCAAGGACATCTGTCCAACTCACTATTCAAGCTTGAACCAACACCACCTTTGTTACTGGTCCTTGCAGTCAAGGATAATTGACTCAAAACAACTTATGTGACCCTTCTCATTTTGCCTTTAAAAACTACCCCCTGCCTAAACCTCTTTGAATGTACAAACAGTTTACTATGGCCTGTGTATTCCCATTGTACTGCTAGGCCCGACAAACTTAATCATCCTTGAAGTTTCTCTCTCTCTCTCTCTCTCTCTCTCTCTCTCTCTCTCTCTCTCTCTCTCTCCCTCCCTCCTTCTTCTTATTATTAAGGTTGACAAAAACTTTTGAAGAAATTAATGTTCGGAGGGGAAGGCAAAGCATGTTTAGTCTGTTGATAATGGGGCTGGAGGTGTGGCTCTAGTGGTAGAGTGTATGTCTTGCAAGTCCTGAGTTCAAGCCCCAGAACCACCAAAAAAGTAAAAAAAAACAAGCTAGTCTGTTGAGATAGCACGTGACAGACTTAGAACACAGGAGAAGATGCTATTGCAGCTAGCATTTAGGTTTGAGTAAGTTCATACTTTTATAAATAAAACATCTATTATAAACATACTTGAATGTGAACTTTAGTTCAACTGTTGAATTTGTGCTTTCATTGCTTGTGTTTCAAACATTCCTACCACGTCTTAAATATAAAGACTATCAAACCCATGACAGATGCTATATTTTTAGGTTCCATTTGTATTGAAATTAATAACCAGATTACAGTTGTTTGGGATCTTTCCAATATGTATTTCTCCATATTTATACAATGGGGGAGAACTGATGTTTACAGTGGCGAGTAGAAAGCTCTGCTCTTTCTGTATTGGAATTTATTTCTCTTCCTTGTATTTCATCATAGCCTCCCTAATGTAATTAAAGTCTAAGTTTATTGCTATTATGTGGAAATTATTCCCAGGGGAGTGTTCTGTTCTCAGTCTCGTAGAACAGTTCATTTAATTAACGTGCAATGTCTCATTCTTAAAGTGTTACCAATAAAAACAGCCCATCTGTTAATAGTCTGGTAACTTTGGTGATTAGAGCCTCCTACACCCTCAACCTGTGTTTTTCAACCTGAGTTTCTGAGTCCATTTTGGAATAATGAGAAGGCAAGGATGGAGGCAGGGGTGAGGAAGCAGGGGAGGAGAAGAAAGAAAGGAGAAGAAATAATACCTCAAGACTTCCAGTTCACAGTGTGAGAAGTCAGATTTGGAGTTGTAGGCCAGCTGAAATTTTCTTTGTGGGTGGTGGGGTGGTGATTAACTATGGCAAGTCAGTAAGTCTGGGATGAAATCTGCTTCTCCTCCTTATTATCTAAGTGACCTTGGGCAAATTATTTTATCATCTTCCTCATCTGTGAAATGGGAACAATACTACCATGTATGGCTGTTTCCAAAATTAAATGTGATATGTGTCAAGTGTCTGGAACAATACAGGTTTCAATAACGGGATGTGATGATGTTAGGGTCATACTGTTAATAATAACAACAGCAAAAATACTATTAATTATAATTTAGTTTCTAAAAAATGACACTGTCAAAGTGATACTGAGCAGGGTAGCCTGTACACATTATTACTCCATCCAGGGGAACATGTGAGAAGTTCTATTACTGCATCATACTTCAAAATGTAAATTTAGACAAATTATCTTGTAGTCAAGAGAACCGTAGCTCCAAGAATATACAATGAAGTGAAGCAATTGTTCAGCACCAGAGTCAACAGTGTGGGTTTCCAATCCAATATCCAGAGGCTAGGATGTATTTTGAGGCAATTCCATTACTTGATAGTTGTGGTTGGCTGAGAATTGAGTTGCTAGTTGGGATAGTAGATTTCAGTGACCCCCCCAAAGGGTACCCATGTTGAACCCCAAGAGAAAACTTTATATGCCCTGGGTCATTAATCAGCAGGAAAGTTGTTGGACACATTATAATGTGCTTTCATTTTTCTCCTAAAGATGAGGAGAGGAGTCAAGAATATTGAAATTAGACGTTCTTTAACAATGCAATCTCAAATTCTGTAATGCCCTGAGCCTTGATTTCTTCCTATGTACACTATAATCTCTTCTACTAAATAGGGTTGTTGTGAGGATTAAATAAAATACTGTTTGTAAAAGCACATAAAGAAATGCTCAATAAATATTTGCTTACTGAAATTATCCTTAACATTAACAAAGGTCATTCATGCTAGGACCTCTACAAAGAGATTGATTCACACTTGGTGCTCTGTGGTACATTCTGATTTGAGAACATGGGTGTAGTTGTAAAAGACTCAAAAGTAATTAATTTTTTAAGAATTTACCTTAAGAAAGCAATCAAGAACTATGTGGCGATTTAGTCACAAGATTGCTCATGACAATAAAGTTTATAATGGTAGAAAATTGACAGCAGCCTAAACCATCAATAGTAAGGGATTAAACTATTGTACACTCAGGACCTGAGATGTGGCTCAAGAGGTAGAGTGCTTGACTAGCAAGCATGATGCCATGAGTTCAACCCCTAGAACCTCCAAAAAAATTAGCATATAACCTACTATATTCTAGTAGCACTAAAAATAATATTATAGATTAAGGTGATAAAGGTGTTCATTATCTATTGTAAGAAAGACACAGTCTAAAAATATTTGAACAAAAATATTAACATTTGTTGCCCTGGGTGGTGAATATAGAGATGTTTACAAAATTCTTTGCAATTATCTACACAGTTCCCCAACAGCGTACGTTGTCCTCAGGGTGTCCTGCTGCTCACAACATAAACCTCGTCACACTGATTATGACCCTGGTCCTTGGAACATAACAAGCTCCCAGTAAATATTTGTAAAAACACATATGGCCATGTGGAAATAAGAGTGGAAGGATATACAGCAAGATTATAGCAGCCCTCAGTTCTGAGTTGCCTTGGGCAGGAAGAATTATGGATAATTTTTGTTTTATCTATCAAAATCTTCAGAAATTTAGGGGGACTTCTTTCACATGTAGACTTTACTTGACTAGATCAGCACAGATTAGTTTGTGATTAAAGAAATCATAGAAGTTCATGGGTTTTTTTGCCCCGTGTTATATAACAAGACAATTTTGTGTTTTTTTTACCTATGTCATCCAGATGCACTTGCAGTCGCTTTGACTCCTTCATGCCAAGCACATTTGTAGCTTGGACCCAAACCAAATACTCTTTGCCACCTGGCAATGAATCAGTGGAGATGTTAATATAGCTCGAGGTGAGATATTGTTGCTCTTCTTCTGTCTCTATACTTTAAAAAAGAGATAATTACAGATTATACTTAGTTTGAATTAATTATTCCAGAATTTTTTAAGCTTGCTTTCAGAATGCAAACTTTTACTGAAAAATAAATTCCATTTTATTTTCTGAAGTTTTTGGGGGGGCAGGCATTGAGAAAGGGTCTTGCTATGTAGCTCAGGCTGGCCTCAAATTTGTAATCCTCCTAAGTGTTGGAATTACAGGTGTGCAGCACAACAGGCCTGGCTTATTTTCTGAATTTTTTTAAAACAAATTCAAATCTGGCAGTGAGTTACCTCAGCTTCCAATTGCAACTTGCCCTGTGTACAGAAGGAACCAAATACTACTCACAAGCCAGTCACCTGGTCAGACCACATTAGAGTTCCCCCAGTGTCAAGACTGGACTCTAAAGGAGTAACTCCAGAACTTTTACCAAACAGATGGAAATTTAGTTGTTGCAGTACCTGGTGTTTTTTTTTTTTCTTCTGTATTATTAACCTTATCATCACTATTTTCTTATCCCTATTCTTACCTCCTTCACTTTCCCTCCTTTTCCTGTACTAAAATTCATTGTTCTCCCTCCCAACTACTCTTCCTGCCCCTTCTCATCCACTCTCTCCTATCTTTCCCCAACCTGTCACCACACTACCCCTCCCTCCTACATACTCACCACCAGCTGACTAGTGTACTGTACCCACTGTACACACCCCCAGACCCTGCAATCCCTGACACAAGCACCCTCCACTACAATAACAGAAATACACTCAAACACACACAAGGGCCACAAAACCCAGAAGCCAAGTCAAACAACTGAAGAGGAACATGCAAGAACTCAGCGACTCCATCAAAAGACCAAACCTAAGAATCATGGGCATTGAAGAAGGAGAAGAGGTACAAGCCAAAGGGGTACATAATATATTCAATAAAATAATATCAGAAAATTTCCCAAATCTTGAGAAAGTTTTGCCTATACAGGAAGCCTCCAGGACACCTAACAGATTTGACCAATAGAACCTCTCCATGGCATACTATCATTAAAACAACAAGCACAGAGAACAGACAAAGAATACTGAAGGCTGTAAAAGAGAAAAAAACAAATAATGTATAAAAGTAAACTCCAAAAAATTACAGCAGATTTCTCAACAGAAACCTTAAAAGCAAGAAGGGCATGGAGTGAGGTATTTCAGGCACTGAATGAAAATAATTTCAGCCATAGGATATTCTACCCAGCAAAACTATCACTCAAAATTGATGAAGCAATAAAAAAATCTTCCATGATAAATAGAAACTAAAACAATACATGACCACCAAGCCACCACTACAGAAGATTCTACAAAGAATTCTGCACACAGAAGATGAAAGCAAACAAAACCACAAGAAAACAGGAAGTATTAAACCATAGGAGGAGAAAAGACAAGTAATCAGAGAGTAGCAGTGATTTGGCTGCACACAATCAAATCCTTAAACAACCATAAGAACTAAATGGCAGGAATCACCACAAACCTACTAATATTAACACTGAATGTAAATGGACTCAACTCCCCCATCAAAAGACACTGTTTGGCAAACAGGATTAGAAAGGAAGATCCAACAATCTGTTGTTTACAAAAGACCCACCTTATTATAGAAATAAACACTGGCTTAGGCTGAAAGACTGGAAGAAGATTTACCAAACAAATGGCCCCCCAAAACAGGCAGGAGTAGCAATACTTACATTAGACAAAGAAGACTTCAAACTTACATTGGTCAAGTGAGACAAAGAGGACACTTAATACTAATAAAAGGGGCAATACATCAAAATGAAGTAACAATTATCAACCTATATGTACCCAATGTCAGTGCACCCAATTTCATCAAACATACATAAAACTACTTAAAAGCACATATAGACTCCGACACAGTGGTAGTGGAAGACATTAATACCACTCTAACACCAATAAATAGGCAATCCAAACAAAAAATCAGCAATGAAATTCTAGAACTAAATGACACCATAGATCAAATGAACCTAACTGATGTCGACAGAATATTTCATCCTGCAACAACATAAGATACATTCTTCTCAGCAGCCCATGGAACTTTCTCCAAAGCAGATCATATCTTAGGGTATAAAGCAAGCCTCAGCAAATATAAGAAAATAGAAATAACCCCTGCATTCTATCTGATCATAATGCAATAAAACTAGAACTCAACAACAAAAGCAACAGCAGAAAAAACTCAAATCATTGGAGGCTGAATAACACATCACTCAATGATCAGTGGGTCATAGAAGAAATAAGAGAGGAAATCAAACAGTTCCTGGGTGTTAATAAAAATGAAAACAACACCTTCCAGAACCAATGGGACACAGCAAAGGCAGTCTTAAGAGGAAAGTTTATAGCCATGAGTGTACACATTAAAAGGATAGAAAGATCTCAAATAAATGACCTAATGCTACATCTCAAACTCCTAGGAAAACAAGAACAAACATAACACAAAACAAGCGGGAGAGAGATAATAAAAATCAGGCTGAAATTAATGAAATAGAGACAAAAAAAAAATACAAAGAATCAACGAAACAAAAAGCTGGTTCTTTGAAAAAATAAACAAGATCGACAAGCCCCTGGCAAATCTGACTAAAATGAGGTGGGCAAAGACCCACATTAGTAAAATTAGAAATGAAAAAGGGGAGATAACAACAAACACCAAGGAAATCCAGGGACTCATTAGAGACTACTTTGAGATCTAAACTGGAAAATCTTGAAGAAATGGACAAATTTCTAGAGACTTATGACCATCCAAAACTGAACCAAGAGGATATTAACCACCTAAACAGATCTGTAACACATAATTAAATTGAAGCAGCAATAAAGAGTCTCCCCCAAAAAGAAAACTCCAGGACCTGAAAAACTCTGCTGAATTCTACCAGACCTTTAAAGGAGAACTAATACCAACACTCCTTAAACTTTTCCATGAAATAGAAAGGGAAAGAACACTTCCTAACTCATTCTATGAAGCCAGTATTACACTCATCCCCAAACCAGATAAGGAAACATCAAAAAAGGAGAACTACAGGCCAACCTCCTTAATGAACATCGATGCAAAACTCCTCAATAAAATAATGGCAAACTGAATCCAACAACATATCAGTACTATCATTCACCATGACCAAGTCAGCTCATCTCAGGGATGCAGGGATGGTTCAACATACACAAACCAACAAATGTAATATAGCACATTAATAGAAACAAAGACAAAAACCACTTGGTCATCTCAATAGATTGAAGGCAGAAAAAGCCTTCAATAAGATTCAACACCATTTCATGATAAAAGCTCTAAGAAAACTAGGAATAGAAGGAATGTACCTCAACATTAAAAAGGCTATATAAGACAAACCTATAGCCAACATCATACTTAATGGAGAAAAACTGAAACCATTTCCCCTACAGTCAGGAATAAGACAAGGATGCCCACTCTCCTCACTCTTATTCAAAACAGTCCTGGAATTCCTAGCCAGAGCGATAAGGCAAGAAGAAGAAATAAGAGGAATACAAATAGGTAAAGAAACAGTCAAACTATCCCTATTTGCAGATGACATAATCCTATACCTCAAAGACCCAAAAAACTCCACCCAAAACCTCTTAGACACCATAAACAGCTTCAGCAATGTAGAATACAAAAATCGACTTACAAAACACTGCAGCCTTTCTATACACCAACAATGAACAAATTGAGAAAGACTATAGGAAAACAATTCCATTTACATTAGCCTCAAAAAAAAAATCAAATACCTAGGAATAAACTTAACAAAGGATATAAAGGACCTATATAAGGAGAACTGAAGAAAAAGATCGAAGAAGATTACAGAAGGTGGAAAGATCTCCCATGTTCATGGATTGGCAGAATCAACATAGTAAAAATGGCTATACTACCAAAAGCAATCTACATGTTCGATGCAATTCCCATCAAAATCCCAATGACATTCATCACCAGATTGAAAAATCTATCCTAAAGTTCATTTGGAAACACAAAAGACTGCAAATAGCCAAGGCAATCCTGAGCAAAGAGAGCAACACTGGAGATTTTGCAATACCCTTCTTCAAAATATACTACAGAGCCATAGCAATAAAAACAGCATGGTACTGGCACAAAAACAGGTATGAAGACCAGTGGAACAGAATAGAGGACCTGAATATGAATCCACGCAGCTATGCCTACCTTATTTTTGACAAAGTCACCAAAAACATATGATGTAGAAAAGATAGCCTCTTCAACAAATGTTGCTGGGAAAAGTGGTTATCTGCCTTCAGAAAACTGAAACTGGATCCATGCCTATCACCCTGTACTAGTATCAATTCACAGTGGATTAAGGACCTTAATATCAGATCCAAACCTTGAAGTTAGTACAGGAAAGAGCAGGAAATGCTCTGGAAGCAATAGGTATGGGCAAGGACTTCCTCAGTAGAACTCAAGTGGCCCAGCAACTAAGAGAAAGGATTGACAAATGGGATTACATGAAATTAAAAAGTTTCTGGACAACAAAAGAAATGGTCTCTAAATTGAAGAGACCACCCACAGAATGGGTGAAAATCTTTGCTAGCTATATATCAGACAAGGGACTTAAAAAAAAAATAAAACAAATTCAAATCTGGCTAGGGCCACAGTATGTCTTTAGTGAGTTCTAAATGTTTTTGCCTTCAGAGACCCCTTTCATCATTAAAAAGTATATATACATATATGTGTGTGTGTACACATACATATGTACATACATTCATATATGTATAAATACTTCCATGTATATTTATTAGTTTACAACAGTGTTGCTATACAGACAGACATGTTAATAATACATGTTAACCTAACAGTTTATTTTTCTGACTTTAAGTGAAATGAAACATTTCCTGGATTCCTCAAAGTTCTGTGGGTACTAGGCCTGGTTACCATCTCTACTTGATCTTTAGTTCTTTTACTGTGAATTTTGCCTTTACTTTCACCACGAAACTACTCTTTTAGGTGGCATCCTCTGCAAGGTGG